AGAAGTCTTGAAGAATCGGAGAACGCCGGAAAATTAGAACGCCGGGAAACTTGAGAAAGCTGTGATTGCCGGAGACAGACAGATATCTTGAAGGAGGCGAGTGCAAAAAGTAATGAGGAGAGAAAGAAGGGATTACTTATAGGAAGGGCGGAGAAACCCCAGCCCTCGGATTAAAGTCATTTTCAACGGATAAGATGAGGCACAGAATACGAAGCGGCGGAGAGAGAAAATGTTAATCTTTTGAATTTTGAAATTTGAAAAGATTCAGACTTATCTAATCAAGTCAGAATTCGCGAAAAACGAGTCGTACTACAAGATGAGGTAATGAAGGGATGTAACCCGAGATGACAACTAATGACGAGACGTATGTAAAGACTCGAGGAAAAAATCCAGTCGACAAAATCTACTCGTAAGCTCAGAATCGCTTCGAGTAATTTTGGGGGGGACTAGATGATATGGCCACACTGTCGTGCATCGGTTCAGTAACCGCGGCATTGCCGCGATTGGCTCATAGCGGTTCATATCGTCACGGTTTGAGATTACCGAGTCGACTTCAGCAAAGTCGACTCAGTCAAGAAGCCCGGCTCTCGACCGAGTCAATGTACATCTGTCGACTAGAGTAAGTCGACTTCTGGTAAGATAACGGTCAGACGTATTAGGGTCTACTAACAGTTGAATGCGACCCAGTCGACTCGACGTAATGTCTCAGGTCGACTGACGGAGTTGTAGCTCGTGGTGCCCGATAGCTTTGACACACCTCAGCATATTGAAGAAGAATTAAGGATAAGAAGGAAGCTCAGGAAGGATCTAGATGCTGACTAGGAAGTAGGCGGAATATGAACCGACCGGGGTATTCTGGACATTTCCCTTAAGTCGGCCGGGGCATTTTGGGGACTTCAGGTATATATTATTGTACTCCTATATAAAGGACTGAGGTAATCCCAAAACCCTAACTCCCATTCATTCCAGATCCTTTTCATTACTGCTGCTGCTCTGATAGCAGCTATCATCACCTCTCTCATATACTGACTTGAGCGTCGGAGGCTCTACGCCGGAAACCTCTCCGGCGTTGAGTTCTTGCAGGTGTTCTTGCGGCTCACAACAACGGTTCGATCGCCATCACATCAGATCTAAGTTCATCCGTACCGGTTCGTCCCAGATCCGGACGTTTTCTCATTAGACCGTCCCAGATCTGAGAAGAAACCCATCAGCTAGTAACATTATCAAGAGTCAAGGAAAACTATATCTTTTTCTCAATCCCCCATTCCTTAAAAAATTCAAATATTTTGGAAGTTAATTCGACTACTGAATCAAGAGGGGCATAGATGCAAAACAGAGTATTATTATTCAACTTTGTTTTGCTTCTATGCCTCCTCCTCATGAGTTGCATTAGCTTCCATAATATTTGAATTTTGAAGGAATAGGGGATTCAGAAAAAGATATTTTTTTTACTCTTGATAATGCTACTAGCAATGGTTGATATTTTGAAGGAGCAACTTTCTTTGCATGCTAGCTTATTGTGTGGTGGTGACTTTTTTCACCTTGGTTGTTGTGCCCACATATTGAATCTCATTGTGCAAGGTATGAAAGTAACAAATGATCCATTGAAAAAGATTAGAAATCCGGTTAAATATGTGAAAGGATGAAAAAAATTGAAGACTCGGTAAGTGCGGTTGGTAACATTGGTACGAGTACCGGATTGAGACTTGATGTAAGTACTCGTTGGAACTCGACTTATTTAATGTTAGAGAGTGCAATCAACTACAAAAAGGCTTTTGCTTTTCTTAAATTGCATGATAGGAACTACAAATTTTGCCCAAGAATGAACGAGAGCCGAAAAAATTTGTGAGTTCATTGAGCCTTTTTATGAGACAACCAACTTGATATCCGGTTCTTCTTATCATACTTCGAACTTGTATTTTATTCATGTTTCGAGAATTCGACGTATATTGATGGAGAATGCCTCAAAGGAGGATGAACATGCGCTTAAATATGTGGACAAGTTTGATAAGTATTAGAGGCAATATAGAGAGGTGCTTGCATTTGGGCTATTCTTGACCTAAGGATTAAACTTGGAGAATTTTTATAGCGCAGTTGAGTACGATCCGATAAAATGTGAAGAGGATCTCACATGTGAAGGCAAAGGTATATCAACTCTTTGAGCATTATGTAAATGTTATAAGGCTCTGGCTCACATTCTTCACAAGCACAACCTTTTTCTGCCTCTGTCTACAACATCTATTTTGCAAAGTGGATCGAGATCAAAATCCAAGGGAAAAAGAAAGTTTAGTGTAAGTTAATCCTCTTTTGTGGTGTTTTTTTTTTTTTTTTTTTTTTTTTTTTTTTNNNCTACAAAGTTAATAAATGAATTTCAATATTAAATGAAATATTTTGTTTGATATAGGATATTGTGGCATTTGAGAGCCGAAGAGTTACTAGTGCCGGAAAATCTCAATTGGATCTCTACTTAGAAGAGACAAAACATGATTTTTCATTTAATGAGGATTTGGATGTTTTAAAGTATTGGAAAAATTGTAAGAATTGATTCCCGCATGCATCGGAGTCGACATTTTCTATTGGTGCTCGTGTGCTCACAAAATATAGAAGTTGCATCCTCCCTGAAAAAGTCCAAACCCTTATTTCACTCGTAATTGGTTACATGGTTATGTTGTTGGTAAGTTTGTTTCTAAGCTACTTTCTTTTGGTTTAAATTTGTATCTTTCTTTAAATATATTTTTTTTGTAGATAATAATGAACGTGCTTACACAAAAATTTCATAATGGAGCATCACATTATCCAACTATCCTTGAAGATGGTGACAAAGATAATGAGAGGGAACGAGAATTTTAATTTTAATAATGCATTGGCTGATGATCTTTGAATTTGTTCATGTTTGAATGATGAGTACTTGGGAAGTTGATATCTTTGTACTTTAAGTTTTCTTTTGATTTTGGGGTTATAATGATTGATGAACTTGTAATGTTTAGTTTTTGAATTGTGATGGGAACTTGGAATGGTGCTTTTGGTTTGTGATGATGTTTGGATAAATCGTATTGATTTGTGATGCTTTTGGTTTTTTTATTATCATTATTGTGGTAATTTTTTTTTAAGTTCAAGTTAGGGGCAATTTTTTTTTTTTGGTTTGCACTACATGTTTTTCTTTTTTTGAAGTCTACATGTTTTTTATAGGCTTATAGCATGTTTCTAATGCTTAAATTATAGCATGGTTTTTTTTTTACTGGGCTGAAGGTTTCAAGTGTTTTTTATTTTACATTATTAATGCACATTGCAGGCTTTGCAGCCCAGCCTAGTTACTAGAAAAAAAAAAATATAGAAGCGGGCTGTCCTGCCGAGCCCGCGGCCCGTGGCGGGAGCGGGTTGGGCCGGCATTTTACAGGCCCGCCACGACCCTGCCAAAAGGCGGGCTACGGGCTGGCCCGTTTTGACAGCTCTATGTCTGTATCTGTCTATATGATATTCTATTCTGATTGTAATTGTAATTTAATATAAGTAACATAAACATATATTATTAATATTATAAATATATATTTTTTTAAAATAAGGCGGGCCAGCCCGCGGGCTGACCAGCGTAGGGAGCGGGCCTAGAAAATCCCGGCTCAACCCGCTCCTTTGGCTGGGCGGGGCGTCCCGCGGGCCAAATTGACAGCTCTAAGAGCAGCTTTACACACGTAATTGACAATAAATACAATAAACCACCGTTCGTGAGATAACAATTGGCTACGGATAGATATATGATGTAAGTTAGATTTTGCTCTTTCTACTTTTGTTTTTTTTTTTAAAAAAAAAAATATTCTTGGAAATTTTTAGGAACAGATCACATCATGTTATATTGACGCTCTCTGACAGACGTGGTTTCACTTTTAGGAACCTTGCTGTGATGAACCTTTTAGTGTTACTATATCCATATCTGGAAAACCTAGTAACCTTATTCCTCGCAGTTCTCCTAAAGTTCATGCTTATGATTTCTTAAATGTAGAAGTGGATTGATCTCCAACTTTTCTGGCATGATCATCATGAGTCGCTTTTTTTGCTGCATCCGGTGTGCATGATTTACTTATTCCTGAATTCTACTGATCCTCTGTTATAAGCAGATCCCATCAGATGGGTTTGAAGCTGCTTCCAAGCTCCAGATTCTGGATCTGAGTGGTGCGGCTGGTTCCTTACCTGAAAACCCAGCATTTTCAAGCTTACCAGAGTTACAGGAACTTTACCTGAGGTTTGTCTGTATCTTAGATGTGATAAACTTGCTTCCTTTGCCAGTTAAAAAGTTACTGACTTTTAATTCTTGGCAGACGCATGCAAATATCAGTTTTCCCGTTGGATATAACGACATTGCAACAGTTGAGAATTCTGGACTTGAGCCAAAACCTCCTTCAATCGATTCCTGAGGTGACCATCTCACATTTTTTTTTTTTAAATAAATGTGGTCTGCTATATGATACTACTGCAAATTAGTTCTTTCCATCTCTTGATATTTTTCGTTGTCATTTTAGTGACATACCACTGTAAAGACATGTCTTTTCATCGGAGAGCAAATGTTCTTTCAATTAATTAGATGGACATACTGGCCTTTTTGCTGTCTTTCATATTTTGCTTGTAATTTTGCACTGAAGCGCAGAGTTAGATGCTGTACATGAAACTGCAGAGTTTGATTTCCTAGAACCTGTTATTTAGGGTATTGAGTATTGACTAGTGTTCTAAAAAATTGTGCTAGATGCCTGCTGGCGGCAACCAGGCGTCCTATTTTCTTCTAGGCGTTCCTTCTAGGCACTCGAGCAATTAGGCGCCGCCTATCGGTCACGCGGTTGCGAAGTTAGTCGTGCTTAGGTGGAGGCCTAAGCGGCCGCATAATTTTCTCCTTACCCATTTCTAATTTATTTTTTAAAATATAATAAGCATATATTTTGATTTTTATGCATTTCATGTATAACAATTATAAAAGTAAAAAAATAATCTTGTAAAATTAATATAATAGTCCTAACTATATAATATTTTTGAAAAGTTTTTTATTTAAACATATTTACTATATTTTACAAAATATACTTTGCAAAGCTATGATAAATATAAATAATTTCATTAGTATTTTTACGCCCCTGCCTAGTTGCCGTCTAATCCCTGCCTAGACTATAGGCTCTTGCTTGCCGTCTAGCGAGCGCCTATCGCCTTTTAGTACCTTGGGGGTTTACATTGGCTTGCCATCTGATTGATTAATTAACTGTCTGTTGCCTTTTAGAATCTTGGTGTTGACATTGGCTTGCCATCTGATTCATCAATTAATTGATAATTTAGATTAGTATACCTGATTATCATTTTATTGACACAAAAAAATATATCTAATTATACCTGATTAATTCTTTTTGTTGACACAAAAAAATATATCTTATATTTTCTTTTTTTCTTCTTTTCTCTCTTTTTTTATTATTTATTTATTGTAAGATTCCAATTACATATATTTTCTTGATGTTTGGAAATGAGAAATGATACTTGCTAAAAATCAAGGTTCTAAAAAGCGCTAGGCTCTCAATAGGTGGGATTGTAAAAATATTAATAAGTTACTTATATTTTATCATCATGCATAGCTTGCAAATTATGTTTTATAAAATATACTAATTAATATGGTTAAATACAATTTTTCAAAAATTTTATATATATAATATATATATATATATAATTTATAATTTTTATATTAATTTTATATGATGATTTTTTTTACTTATATAATTATTGGACATGAAATATATAAAAAGTAAAATATATTTTTATTACATTTTAAAAATAAACTAAAAAATATATAAAAAAAAAAACGAGTGCCTAGGCATCACCTGCCGCCTAGGCGTGACTAACTCCGCAGCCGCCTAGCCCTTGTAGATGGTGCCTAATTGTTTAAGCACCTAGAAGGGCTGCCTAGGCGAAAATCGGGGCGCCCGGGAGCTGCCGAGGCCCGCGCCTATCCCGAGTTTTAGAACTGCTAAAATGAGATGGAGTATTTTATTCAGCACTTCCTTCTTTTTCATCTAATGATTCTATACGCTGCACTTGCTGTTATGAGGTCCAGAAAATTATACTGACATCAATTCTTATTTGCCTGCAGATTATTAAGAATCTTACTTCTCTTACAGAGATTAGTCTTTCAGACAACAATATTACATCTCTTCCGCCAGAGCTGGTGTGTCCCAAAATTCAATTTGTTTCTTTAATTGTTACCTTTTAGTTTGCAAATCGCTGGTAGTAATTGACTCTATATGCATGCGTTGTCTCCAATATAGTACATTGTCATACTAATTTAGTTTGATGAAATATTACATCAATTCCAAAATTTATTTTAGTTGAATGCTATTGTCCGTTTTAAGAATTGAAATTATTTTCAAGAGGCTGCTACTGGATTGACATGCTATCTATGGTACTGCAATATTATTTACCGTCTTTCTGGTGCATACAAACTTTCTGTTGTTATATTCCAATAGACGCTCGCTTAAACATCTGAATTTGCAGGGTTTGCTCGAACCCAACCTGCAGGTGCTAAAACTTGAAGGAAATCCAATTAGAAGGTATTCTGAATCTTTGGTTAGATTTCGGTAATAAGTTCTTGTATATGTATATATATCATTAAGCTCAAGCATGACAATAAGGAACATGATGATAAAGATAAAAATAAAATAAGGAGGTAAAAACAAAGAAAGCAAAGTTGGGTGGCTTGATCACATTACCCAATTGTTATTCTACGTATTTAATACAGTCAAGGAATGAATGCACAATGAGCTTTTGTACATTTTAAGTTCTTAAGCGTCTGTATTCAAGACTTGGAAACACAGAATTAGCTCGTTTAGAGATAAACTTCTGGTTTCAAATGCTTATGCAGCATCCGAAGGCCAATTATGGATCGAGGAACAAAAGCAATCCTGAAATATTTGAAGGAGAGAATTGTTGATCCGTGACAAGCCTGTCCTCTCAGAGGAAAACTTGAATTCCGTGTTGTAATTTCGTGAGTTAGAATTTTGCTGATTATATTTTCGCCCGCTATTTTGTCCTTTATGTGTGTTGTAGTTTGTATGATGTTTTTCTGCATTGTACCATGATTCCTGCTCCAGAAAATACAATTGTGTGTACCGATTAGGTTTGTGTTGTAATTTTATACACTACTGTAACTTGAAATTCTCGGTGAGGTTTAATGATTGTGGGATACGCTATTAATTGCACTCTTTTATCAGAACGACAAAGAATGAATGGTTACTAGAAATGCTAGCCACCATAGCTCTCTTAAGCCTAGCTCTAATTCTAGTTCTCTTGAAGATAGCAATTACCTCCTTATAGCTTCCATAACTAGTCTGAACTTAAAGAACATTTTGAAGACTTGATATCAGATTAACTTTCTTGGTTGGAGTTTGCTCGGGGTCAGTTATGCTTTAAATGGAGAAAAGATTAACTTCAGATGGTCTTGCCTCAGTGATCGCTAGACCTGCATCTGCATAAGACGTATGTAAATGGGCACAAGTGGTCGAAAGATAAAACGATTGGTTTAAAAAATGTATGTTTTCTGTGTTCATTCAGAACAAAGTCGAGCTTCACAACGAAAGTAATGGAGCCATGTATTTGCTGTTAAAATTAGTACACATTGATCTGTGAGGAGAGAATTCATGTGGCTAAGGCATCACAAAGAGGTAGTTTGAGAAACACATTCTCCAGAGTGGATGATGGTGTCAAATCGAACATACCGCAAGGAAGGTTAGCTGAATTATTTTACGCGATTGTTCAAGCACAAAAAGAATAAATAAATCATAAACACTCTAATTAGATTAATTGGGTATTGCTTAACAACTAAGAAGCCAAACAAAGCAAGAACTCAATTATCAACTTTCAAATAAGTTTTGGATATCGATTAAGAAGCTAGGAACTCGGGGATAATTGTTCCTATTTCAAAGCGTAAATATTAAGCAATTGATCGTTCGGTTAAATGATTCCATCAACCTACACATCTAGAGATTTAACCTCAATAACGTTCGTAACAATAAACATGGACGACAAATCAATCAAAATAAAAAAAAAAAAAATACATATAAGCAATACAATTACGAACAAACCCACTCTATACGAGCCTAGATCGAACAACTCCTCCCCTCTTGGTTCTAGAAGTTGTTTAATTAGATTAGAAGGTGATCAAACATCTAGCCCTAGGAACAACACCGTCGCGTAGATTGAACGAGTCTCAATAGTACGATGGACACATGAATATGAACAATCATCCCATATTCTTAGCGAGAGAATTTAGCTAGAGATATAGAAATTAACAATAACAATGAATCAACAAAACAAATCACATCCATAATCCAAATAGAAAGCTTACGATAAATCCAATGCTGAGAGACAATCTCGAATTACAAGCCAAAATCTTCACCCACTCCTTGAAATGTCACTCTCCAAAAAAATAAAAAATAAAGGCAAAACAATATTTAAAAGAAGAAAAACTGAATAAAACGAGCAATGAATGTCCTTTCAGGGATTAAGGTTCCCATAAATATTGGTCTAGAAACTGATCAACAAGTTTGTATTATTTTAAATTTTGATTCGTCACCTCCGTGGTAGCGGGGCTTTTTGTGGTTCGTGGTGAAGGAACCGTCCGCGGCCACAACTTCCATGGCCGTGGGCTTGCAAGAGAAGACCATTTCACGACCGCGGAACACTCCGCGTGCCGCGACAAAGGAAAGTTTCCTGCGCAACGCGCTCTTAGGCGATGGGTGTGCGTTGTGCGTCAGGCCAGGCGATAACGCGCGAGGTCGGGCAACGGGCGCGCGCAGCCTGCGCGAGCGCGGGCGTGCGGAGGAACTTTTGGGTGACGCCTGCATGGTCAGCGTGAGGCCTAGCGCGGTGACAAGTGCGAGGTCTGCTCGGCGATGGCCTGACGACCCACACGAGCATGCACGATCTGCTGGGCAATGGGTAGTCGACTCGTACAATCTTGTGCAGTGTGCTGGAACTCTAAAAATAATGGCTCGGGACACGCAAACCAACACGAAATGTTATAGCTCGAGCAGAACCTCCCTTTTAACTTCAACCAAAAACAAAGAATTAAAAACACACGAAAAAGGCAGAACAAGACACAAACAAAAAAACAGAAAACCTAAGAAAACTAGCAATGCGGACCGGGAACACAAAGAACAACCCAAAAAATGGGGGAAAGAGCTGGCAAATAGACAAAGAAAAGATATGACAAACAACTTCCCCACTTAAACCTTTTTTTGCCCTGAAAAAATAAATTAAATAAAAACAAGAATCGAGCACGGACAACGACTTCAAGCAATAAGAGTCTCAAACTGATCAACTGACCGAGATGAATTCCAACCACTGTGGGACCATATGCCTCACTTATCAACTTATTTAAGGTGCCTTGAAACGACAAACTCTCAAAAAGGAAATGTAAATATACGACCCCACTCAGTTTCTTACATGAATATGAGAAAAGTACGGCTAAATTGGTCGATATTCAAGTTTCAACATATGTTTATCTATCGTCTAATTCATATTCGAAAACAATCAAAATTCATAAACCTGTGAATCAAAAGGAGGTTTCCGGGTAGTAATGTAGGCTTTTTGGTCAAACAATCACAACTTTTGAGCAAATAGACTACTGAATCCCACTCATCTGCAATCAAAATGGCATGTATCTTATTATCCAACCAAAACTCCATACACAATGCATAAGTGCTTAAATCGATATGCAACTTTGTACTTGACCGTTAATTATTTATTTAGAGATTTTGTTTTATCCAAACAAGATTGTATTGTAAGGACAATAGTTTTGTAGGTTTAATCATTGGAAGTCATTCAAGTGTCCCAAAGTGGTTTTCCATTACTCGTTACACGTGAAAATAAATCAACAAGTAAAATCCTTTCAGTTCGTCTACGCTCCCATTCCAACAATCTAGAATATTTATAACACCAAAGTAATAGCATGGTACCTTAATACTTGGTTTAAACAATTGTAACGAAAATTTCCATGTACAATGTTGCCACTTATACAAGTGAAAGCTGACTAAGTGTTCCTAAATTGATCAATTTGCAGACAATACATACACCTGTTTTGTGAAATAGTTACTCTTCGTTCTTCATCTATTTCTACCATAGATACCAAGACAAATATATTTGGATATAACCCAAAAAAAAAAAAAATATATATGAATGCTCTCTAGCACGCACACACAGAGAAAAAAGAGAAAGTCCCCTTGCTTTATCTAGAGTACAAGTTCTATCTTCGATCGAGTTATACAAATTCGATTAGAAGATTTCCACGACATAGTTCCATCAACTATCGCGAATATGTAACCACTTGAGGAATAGGAGTATCTTGTGTCGTATATTCAATTGACATCGCAGTATCGAACGAATACTCCAGTTAAAGTATTCCTTGATCCCAATTTTGTGCAATACAATGTTCATTATTTGAGTTACTCAAAAAATCAGCTATCGTTTACTCAATATGGAATCTTATGATGTGTACAATTCGTTAAGTACATTAGATTGTCAAAACACCTGTGCAACGGGAGATTTATCGTACACATCATTCATTTTAACAATGTGATAAACCAATTCATTTTGAATATTAGGATATGCATTTTCCTATATCTTTTATGAACATCTTTTTTGGTATTCATAATCAGTTTATAATTGTTGCCTATGATATAAATTCATGATTGTTACCCATGATTAACACATCATCTAGATACTATTGGGATATGCATTTTCCTATATCTTATATGAACAGCTTTTTAGTATTCATAATAATTTTATATTTGGTGTCCATAATTAACATTTCATCTACATAAAGACATACGTCGGAGGCATTGTGAAAAACGACGAGGTTATTATCAGTCAGTCCTAGCAGTTAGCCAACCATATTCTTTTAACAAATGTGCTTACTTTCAAACTTATACATCATACTCAAAAAACAATATCAATAAAATATTCCATTTCATAAGTATACATTTTTATTTTTATTTAAAAAAAATAATAATGTGTAAACCCCATCCAATAGTTAGGTACCTTCTTACAAATTTTTTGTCTAAGAAATTTAAATATAGACAAAATTGGCACACTAGATTAAAAGAACACTTGACATTATAATCTTCAGTCATCTCATGCTTTTGCTTAGGGGTCGTCACAAAGTAAGATAACAAATTTCTTATATCTGATATTCAAGGCAAATATGGGTGGAATGGGACAATGGAATTGTAATTTAAAACTGCAATGCAATTTTTCGAAACGTCCAACAGAAGCAGATCTCATACATGCTGCGAACAAGCGTACAACTCAAAAATCAGTACCATTTCAAAAGGTCTTACTTAAAAATGTCAAAAATTCATGAATGGTAATCTATCTGTCGATGAATATTTAAAGTCGCAGTTTTTCTTGATTGGCATGTCACTCTTTCCACATATCAGCAAACTCATCAACTTCAAGAGGATTTTCCAGCTCGTGCATCTTCCTCCTTGTCTTGGCTTTGACTTTCTTGGCATATTTTCCTGCCTTTTGCCTCTTCTCCAACGAGCGGATCTAATAGCATAAACATACATCACGACTTATATTGTCTGAAATACAGTTCCTTTCTTTTGGTTGAGCTCAAGATTTCTGTTACTCAAGATAATATTTGACTTTTTGATTTTTGATTTTTTTATTTTACATTATTCAAGATTTTCATTTAGTAGTGGTAGCAATAGTCTTATTTTGTAATTATTACAGTGCTCTCAATTTAGTTCATTTCCAGAGTTAATATTAAGGGAAATTGATGGAAATACAGTGAGTCAGTAAATCATCTCGCATGAATCAATTTACAAAAAAAAAAAGAAACAAAACTACTTTACATGCAATTTCACTTTCCCAAATAAAGTGTGTATACTATGAAATCGGGTAGCAAGAAGGACAGAGAAACTTATACCTGGTTAGGTGAAACATAGAATGGATTCTCATATAGGGTTGGGCCCCCAAAGCTGCCGCCAAATATCTTAATCGGGTTCAAACAGAATCGTGGACCAACCTATTTACGGCAATTTAGTTCAATCAAAACCATTTCCATATGCGTACGTACATAAAACTTAATGTTCCTTGACAGACCTCGATCAATGTCATTTTTTCTAAGTCTCCACGGTCTAGTTTCTGTGCTCCACCACTATGGGAACATGATATCTGCTTAAACAAGAACGACCAGTGTAAATGTTTCTAGCATATAAATAACCTAGGAGACTTGTTGATAGCTGACATATTGAAAAAATATAAATATAAAAGGACTACAAAAGTTATCCAAATCAGAAGAACCGACTACACACACACACACACACACACACACACACACACACAGAGGGAGAGAGAGAGAGAGAGAGAGAGAGAGAGAGAGAGAGAACCTGATAATTCCGGAACCATATGTGGTCATCAGCAATTGAGAAGACGAATACGTGATCATGATACGGTTTGGATTTCCTGTGATCCTTCGGAGTCCCAAAAATCTGGATAAAAGAAAGCAAGAAATTTGAATCTTCGAATAAAATACACAAATTAGACAACGGATTAAGTAGCAGAACACATTAAAGTGTAGAAGTTTCACAAGAGATGACAATCAGTTAATCAACTGCAACTAAGAAAACCAACAGGGCCAATGATTTCATTGCACCAGAATCTTTGATATCCGTTGCTTAACTCTCCAGTCAGGTCAATTACTGAAAAACTTTACAGTAGTATCTTACAAGAACATAAAATTATTTCACAATAAAGGCATATACACAGGCATCTTCTGAAATCAGTATGTAACATGTAGCCTGTTCAACTACATCCAGAAAATAGTTCAATGAAGGAAGATATTGGCATATCCCAAGAAAAAGTTTAATAACAGTATCTGATTCCAGGTCCAGAGTAGCTTCATAATCTAAAGTGAAAAATAACAAGTTGACAAATCAAAAATAGGGAAAGAAAAGAAGCTGGGCAATGCTAATACTTTACACTGATTTTTTTTTTTCTTAATTATTAGAAAAAGGGAAATAACTCCGCACCAAAATCAGACCTGAGAAATCATCTCCTTCAGAAGCTGCCAGTGGGGGCTTTTATCAAAGTTGGATGAAAAGGTTAGGAGAGGACGTGAACCCTTTAGATGATTACCGGTAAGTTTCAGTTCTTCCATTGTGTGCACTTCACCAAATACATAAGCAAAAACATACGTAATTAGGATACCTTTACAAAGACGGACGAGTTATGATATAAAAATAACATACGAACCACCAAATTAAATTCCTGAGTAAACAATTCATACCCGCATTAACTAGAAATTTGACAGATGGACCATTGGGGCACTTGGCCATCCACAAATAGAGATCTTTGCCTTTCCTACACTGAGAAAATGCACATACCAGACGACAAGATCAACCATAGCTCATTTTTTTTTCTTTCTATTTTCATATTATCCAACATCAAAATAAAAAAACTCTTATGCGTACCTCAAAAAACAAACAAGAAGAGCAGCTCTTGAGCTCGACAAGCTCATTCAGTGCGGCGCCTTTACTCTCCTTGGACTCCACCTTGTTGTCTTTCTTACTATGAGGCAAAAGCTCAACCAAGTTCAACATCAAGTGCCGATACCTAAAACATCACAATTCGACAAGTAATCGAATAAACGCCAAACACAAGGATGACTGAGCAAATTTCATCTGACATAAACCAACCGACGCAATACTGCTTAAAATCATTCGGGAATGAACCTCGTAAACTCTTTTAATTCACCGGCGGAGGTAAAAGAAACAAAAAATAAAACCTGTAACTGATGCGGCGAGAGCAAGTCACCAAGACTTTCTCTTTATTCCGAAAATTCACATGGTGACTTTCACTTCCATTTTTATCATTCGCATTGGTTTTAAAGCCCAAAAGGGTTCTTTTCGGCCTTTCTGGCGCGCTTTCATTGTTCTTCGTATTGTCTGTAGCTTCCGCTTCAATGTGCTTTCGCTTCTTCCCCATTCGAATGCGAAAAAAANNAAAAAAAAAAAAAAAAAAAAATCTGAGGAGAAGCAAAAAGAATAAAACTGTGAGAAATATACAGGAAAAATCGTAAATTCAGTATCAATAGAGCTTAATTTCTACATAACCTGTTGTGCAGGAGCTGAACGAAGAACAGAGTCGAGGTTGACGGGACCAAAACCCTAAAACCCTATTTTAGGGCGGGGATTTGGAGCAAGTTTGGGATACGATTGAAGGGCCGAGTGTATTGGGCCTCTAACTTTATGATATCTCTACCACACATTTTATCAAAATGGCCCAGCAACGCTCATTATATGCGGCAAATTTACATGCTTATATCGATACTGGTGCATATCCCCACGCACCGTAATCTAATATTAAAATCATTTTTTAAAATTAAATATTGAACATAATTAGATTATATTTTAAAATTAGATGTTGGACGAAACGATTCTATTAACTAGTTATTTTTAAAATTATATGTTTGACTAAACGAACATATTAAGTAGTTGATTAAATCTAATATTGATTTTAAAGTGATTTTGTATGTATCATTTCAATGTATACACATAGATATTGGTATGTATTCTTTTTTTTTAGGTCACACACAAATTTAGAAGTATTCCTTAATTTAAATTTATCATTAATTTATCCATTTATTAACTGCCTGAGCTTTTTAAAATATGATTTACTTTATAAAATAGATCAAATTATTGTAAAAAAAAATATAAAAATGATTATAATTAATTTTTTTAATCACCTCTTAAATACTAATTTAAATTAATTTCAAATGTTAAAGTATCTAAAAAAAGCGAGTTAGATAATTGATTAATAAATATTGTACAGTTTTGAGAAAATCTTCCAAAACATATCTTGTTCTTTTTTTTATCTCAATTCACTTACAAAATTTATACAAATATTCTATTATGCAATATCACCGAAGGCTAAAAGATTTTTTATAGATTAATCAAAATTACAATATATGAATGTTGAACATGAAGATATGACATACACACATAGAAGGAAAAAACTAAAAATTATCATGTAGCAATTTTTCAATAAAAGAATTGGGTCATATGTAATATGAACAACTCAATTATTACCTGTTAATGTTGGAAACAAAATAAAAAATACTTAATATTCGCATGCGCAGTGACGTTCCGATAAAATTGTGAACAATCGCAGGCACGATAGTATATATCTTGGTAAATTTTGGTAAGTTTATGAACCGGTTGAATCGACCAATCAACAACTCTATAATTTTGTAACAACAAATCATGATTTATAATGTGCATGTTCCCACGCAATAAATGTAATTTTATATACAATTAATGTGTTTGTTAGACTATTGTTCATTTTCATGGGTATTAATATGCACTTTATTTGCTGCTATTGTGCATTTGGTAGAGCGAATATACATGTGCAAAGTTCATCAAAAACCAAAAAACAAACCAACTAAAACTGACCGGAATAAAATTTTGACCTCATTTTTTTTATACGTCAGTTTGGTAACTGTTTTTTATTTATATCTTTTTGCTATTTTAGTTTACTTTTGGATTTTTTAAAAAGAAAAATAACTAATCCGACCAAATATATATATATATGTATATATATATATGTATATATATATATATATATAGTTAGGTTCAAGTGAGAATGATGCTTAGTGAAAGAAATAAGAATAAATCGCGGCCATTATCGGATGATCTAGTAGCTAAAAAAAGCCAACATTATACCTTCATTAAGAGTATTTTAGTCATTGTCATCACTATCCAACCATCTCACTAATCAATGGGTCCCATGCCACATCATCATACACACACACACAACACAACACACTTACACACGCCAACATGCAAGCAAAAACACACTCAGACACACGTACAATACACTTACACACACACAAGCCCACAAAACAAACACAAAAACACATTGACTTGCGCTGTAAACTCTCTCTCTCTCTCACACACACACACACACGCACACACACACACACACACAGCGGCGGCTGCTCAGTCGGCCTTTGCCGTCGCCGTCTCTCTCAGCCGTCGTCCTCCCCAGACAAACGCACTCACACACACAACACAAGCACACACAGTCAGACGCACGCACACAACCCTCCCCAGCCCCTCTTTGCGAGCTTCCCGTATGCCACCGGTCGAAAGCCTCCACAACCATCGTTCAAACCCACCGCCGACGAGCATCCACCGCATTCCTCCCCGACTAACTTGCCATCGCTTCTCCATTGTCTAGGCACCGGTGTTGACGCCATCCTCGCCGCCAGTGACTCATCTTCGACGTCCTCAACTACACCATATGCACGGTAAAGCTTCTCCTCCGACCAAGGCTGATTTTGACAGTGAAAATGGAGCCTTGAGCCTCGTCATTAATGGCGGAAAAAAATGTGAGATGATGCAGTTAGACTCCACTGCAGCGGTGGAGAGGGTGGCGGTTTTGGAAGAGGAGGTCTTCGGTCATGAACGACAGGACCTGACTGAGCTCAATTTTTTTTGGAGTTTAGGACTTTTCTTTGAAAATTTGATAAACTATAGGGACTCAACTGCAAATTCATAAAGGTTGAATATATTTCAATTAAGTCCCATGAGCCAAATCTATATTTTATAAAAATTTATACAAAAAATATTTATATATATTTTTTATATATATTAAAATAACAAATAAGTATCTCAACTAAAAGTAATACAAATGTTAAAAAAATATTAAAATAATAAATACACTTTTATAATAACAATAATAATAATAAATAATAAATTACCTCAATTATTTAGGTTAATTTGACGTGCAATTATATCTACTAAATCTAGTTTTTAAAAAACACATAATTCATATGAGATCATATAAAACATTACACTTTATATATCAGCATGATGCACTTTATAAAATCATGTGTTGAACTTTATAAAACAGCTCGTTGCACTTTATCAACACACTTCACAATCAACGGCAACAACTCCTAACACATAACATAAATCTAAAAAACGGTTATACAAATTACTTTAACATCAATCACATCGTTTATGCACATAAAAACACGAGCATGCCAACGTACCAAAACTACAACATTTCACTTATACATCAACACGTTGCACTTTATAAAGCAATATGTTGCACTTTACACAATAACACGCTGCACTTTATCACGACAATCGGATTGCACAATAGATATCAAAATCACCGAACTCGAATTGTCGCTTCAAAAATTTGTATTTATGTTCGATTATCTATTTGTCACTTGTAAATCACGATCATTTCAGTTCGATGTCGACTTAATCTTTTTAAATAATCAAAAACCGAACAGGCCGAATAAAATGAAAAAATAATATTATTATTTTTATGAATTTTATGTAACGCGATTGCATATTATATTTATATGAATTGTACCTTCATAACTATTAGATTGCATAATATTGATCGAAGCCGAACGAATTAAAATTTCAATTTGAACTTTTATAATACAATTCAATTGTCTTGTTTTACTTTTAAAAGCTTGGTTATTTCAATCAATATCGAATTTTTTAGTTAAATAACTGAAATAAATGAACAACCAAATTTTATAATATTATTATTATTATTATTATTATTATTATTATTATTATTATTATTATTATTATTATTATTTATATTTTTTATTTATCATACTAATTTTTTAGCCAAAATAATATAGGAATATTACATATTAAATAACGACAATGAAATATTATTTGTAGTTTGATTAATTATAAATTTGACCCATAAATTAAATTGTAATATATTAGATTGATTGAAAATTGCAATTAAAACCCTATGATTGATAAAAATTTTAAAAGTGAGCCCACAAAATCTGCAAAAAGTTTCCAAGCACATCCCAGACTCTCGACCGTCTCTTCCGACCGCCACCGTCGTCCTTACCTCTCAGACAAATGACAATTTTACCATTCTCTTCAATACCGGCGGCGAGTTCAAGCCGTCTCGAATCAAGCTATTCCCTGTCGATAATTGTTGTTCATATCTCCTTCGCGCCAACGACGCGGTGGCTCTCACCGTGAAGGCCACCGTCTTCCTCGACTGGCTGGTGGATGTGTTAGCTGAGGTGTCGTATGGATTGTGGACTGGACGGCGCCTGACAGTGGACTGTGGTCGTGAAGTTCATTGTCGTTGATTAACTGGACGACGCCGGCGGTGGCAGGACTATAACGACTGGACGAGTCCTACTGTGGCAGCGACGGGACAAGACGGGCGGTGGCCGCGACTATCTGCAACTTCAGGCAAGTCCGACGGAGGTAGGTGTATGTGTCGGTGGTCCGACAAGCAGAAGATGGCTGCGGCACATGACGGTGGGCGGTACTCAGCAGCGGGAGGCAGCGGGCGAGCAGTGTTGCAGCTAGAGTGGTCGCGGGTGCAAATCTGTGACATGTGTGTGTGAGTAGATGAGAAATAAGTGAAAGTTTGGTAAGGGTGGTAGTAGGTTCCACATGTGATGTGTAATTGGGTACTTACCACTTTGCCTTTATTAATGGTTAAATGTGTAGATTTGACCAAAAGATATACACTTATTTACAACATTGTCATCGCATGTTTGACTGCAATATTTAATAATTGATTGGATCATGACCATTGATGTGTTGTCTAGAACCATTCTTATTTCTTTCACTATCTATCATTCTCACGGTAATGCTCCCCTACCCACGGTGGACACATAGTAATATATCCACCGCTTATGTGGCATGCACTCATTGGTGATGTTAATATGTTCAAAAAAATACATGACCAATGTGTGTATGCAACATAATCGGTGGGCATATTAACATGTGTCCACCGTGGGTAAGAGAACATTACCGATCATTCTCATATGCTCTCTCTCT